CCTACCACTACTCCTAATTCTAGGCATACTAGTGCGCCGTTTGGTTTTTGTACGTTTCGTCTTGGAGTATCTCTCTCCTCTCCTTTATTCTTTCTTTCTTTTTTTTTAAAAATCTATGTTCTTCTCTCAATTTCACCTCACACTACCTACCTACCACTACTCCTAATTCTAGGCATATGGGAAACCCCGTAGCAGCCAGAACCTTGTTCACGAGAGATCATGTGGGGGCTGCTCCGGACCTGCAGGTGGGCGATACCGGCTAGGTAGGGGACAGCGGGTAGCATCAGGGACCATGCCAACAGGACCAATCCCTGTGCCTCCCCTCAGGTGGTGGTCCCTTCCCCTACGAACATCAGCAGACTCTGCTCAATGCCGATCGGGGGGATCCAGTGGTCTATCTCTAGGTGGCTGGCGCCAAGCATGCCCAGGAAGGTACATGAGGCCAATGGGGATTGAACCCACGACCTGCTGAATGCCACTTCGTGCCTTACCAACTGAGTTAGGCTGCTGGATCTCTATTCTTTCTCCTCCCTCCGTTCCCTCTATTTCTCCTATTTTCTTCTTTGCATGGCGACTTTTGTGGTTTGTGTGAGCACGCATCTGGCGTGCTAACGATCTACATCAACAATAGCACGCCTCAAAACTCGTCTCTCTCAACGGAAAACCGGGACATTGTCTGAGACCGGAACATTCCTTGAAGCGTCCAACCTCTTTTGTGTATGACGCCGACTACGTCCAGAAACCTGGCGGGCTGTGCGACTACCTCTGACCGTTCAGTTTTCTTGTTTTCTTGTACAAGTCAACTCGTAGGGCCCAATGTGACAAAGACGAAACCTATTGCGGGCGCATCTTTCCCCGTCTTAGCGGAAGATTCTTTCTCCATTGTTCGCAATTGGTGAGTGGTGCGGCGAGCCCCTACTTACCTACTTGTCCTTGGTTTGCTTAGAATGCTATGGGTTATGTATGCACGTTGACTGCTTGGAGAGCTGGCTATGACCGGCGCATCGACTTTATATCTCGTACGTTGGCTACCTTCTTCCACCGAGTACAATACTACGTACGGTCATTATAGGAGTATTTGAGGCATCGTTCAGTCTAGCTGCAGCTAAAACGACCGTACGTTGTATTCGGGGGAAGAAGGTAGGAAGCTTAGTCATGGAGGATAGTCATGGCCGCTTCATCCGAGCTTCTGATGGTAACTATGGTTTAGTCGCTGTAGGTGTGTAGGCACGCGACTCGGTGATGGCGATGGCGATGGCGATGGCGATGGTGTCCTCATCAAGTCTACATCATATTGAATTACGATTGTTTTTGGTCGGGAATCCTCGGGAGGGTCGACCCTGGTGCATCGGAAAAGCTGATGGTAATGTGATCATGTGGTAAGGGCGCACTCACTCACGTTTGCTCCATTCCAACCTCTGATGGTTGCAAAGAGAGATGGAGAGAGGGAGGAGGAGGAGGAGGGAGGAGGAGGAGGAGGGAGGAGGGAGGAGGGAGGTGGTTTTCCCTGTCATCTTTCCTAGACTTCGCAGGAGCTTGGCAGTGATGAGCAGACGAGCAATTCTCAGCGACGTACGGGAGGCGTGGTGAATTGCTGCGGCAATCGAGTTTCGAGCTCCCTTGGTTCTTCGTCTCTCCTCCTGATGAAAACAGAAAACAACTGCAAGAACTCCTTCGCTCTTCCTCCTCCCTCCTCCTCTGTCCTTCTCCTCCTCCTCCTCCTCCTCCTACAGTCACTCCTCCCTTCATGATTACTGCTTCTTTTGAGTCCGCCGGTGATCCATCGACGCCATTGCTGTCAGTTACACACGGCATGGACTTGAGCAACCGACGACGACCTCCCTACACTTCACTACATCTGCATCTACGGGCTGAAGTCCTCCTCCGCCTCCTCGTCTTGGCTGCTTCATCTTATCCTCGCTCGTTCCACTGCTGTCTAGCTCTTCGCTGCACTCGGTCTCTCTGCGCAACATAAACTGGCACGCTAACCCCTGTTGTTGCAGCCCTGGGAGGCCTGTGCGACAAGATTTGTGTTGCCTGATGTCCGTGATCTCGAACAGTTAGTCTCTCTCAAATGACGTGCGGCGGTTGACGGGGTCTCTGCACCTTCTGCGAAATCTCGTGCCTCTCTCTCTCTCTCTCTCTCTCTCTCTCTCTCTCTCTCTCTCTCTCTCTCTCTCTCTCTCTCTCTCGCTCGCTCTCTCTCTTTTCTCCCTCCCGGAGTTTCCCCCTTCTGTTTTGGTTGTCTATTTCGTGGCTGTTCTTGATATTCTTCTCCTCCTCCCTCCTCTCTATCTACACTCCCTCACTCCCCCACTTTTCCTGTCCCTCGCAGTCCTCCTCTTCAGGGTAGTCAGAGTGCATCTCATCGCATTATCCCCCGATGGATTCGGACCATCGGATTAGTGCTCGTACATTTACAGTCCTAACTATTTTCTCTCTTGCATGCTTCATTATCAGCTTCCACTCTAATGCCGCATTCTGGACTATCTGGACTGGGTCCGATGTAAGTGACGGCTCTTGCAAGGATGCCAGCGATCGACGCGGCGATCCCGAGGCCGCTATCAACGGCAGTCATGCCACCGTCTTCTCTCTAGCGAGTTTGGGACAAAGGACGAGTAGGCATAGAGACATCTGCTGGCAGGGACCTCCGCAGTTTCAAGGCGGTCACAATTTGGTGGTTGCAGCCTCTTCTTCCTCCTCCTCCTCTTCTTCCTCCTCCTCCTCATCTAACTCCTCCTCGTCCTCCGGTTCTTCGTTCAAACTGCCTCCTGGAAGTGTCACGTGGCGCGCAGTGGAAGTTGTTGGGATGGGATGTTCCTTGTGCTTTACAGGATCCACGTGTAGCTTCAGATTAAGACTCGGTTCCCGTTTGTCCTTGTGGGCCGATCAAGATGTGCCCCGCCGGCGAGAGGTGATGGTGGTGATCGATGGTCCAGCTTTGCTAGAAGGTGCTGTTACCCCCATCAGCACATCGAACAACCAGTTGGAATGGATGGTCTCTTATCTACCCTTCGATCTTGGGGAGTACGTCGTCACGATCTATGCAGAATGCTCCCTCCCTGTTCTCGGCAATTCCCTGTCCATACCTTTGGCCCGTTCCCCTTCAGAAGCCACCACCTACCTCTCCCAATTCAACCTCACTGTGTACTCGACTCGAATGAAACCGACACAGCAGGAGCACCAGCAGCACCAGCAGCAGCTTAGTCCCTGCGACGCAGGGTTGTACGGGCGATGGGTCTCCTCGACGGCGGCCTCGGTGGGCAATACTCTGTATGGTTCTTCTTCTTCAAGTCCCGGCGATTCCCTGTACACGTGGCAGTTCTTCGACTGCGCAGTTGCCCAAGACCGCGACAGTTTCCTGCTAGCTCTGTTGAGGCGGGACATCTCGGAGATCAACTTCATCGGCGACTCCCATAACCGCATGCTCTATCATCACCTCTGTTACCTGCTCAACGGGTGGGTGAACGTGTCCGAAGCCAAGTGGCACGGCGACTTAGTCAAGGAAGTTTCACTGACTGGCCGACTTAACTTCATCCTTCGATTCTTTTGGGTTGATGGCATCTTCCAAGATGACCAGTTTGGATGTGCGCACAGAGGAGCGTTTACTGGTCGCAAAGGATTTCCGGACATCCCGCCGCCCACCTCGGGGGGGGCACTCTATGTGCTCGATGCCGCCCACTGGACATTTCAGGAATGCTCGTATGCGGAGGCAGCGTACGCGCATTACCTGCCAGAGTTCCTTGCGTGGGGGAAGAGCTTGCTGAAGAAGAAGGGGTCATTTTCATCGGCGGGGGCTGGTAGGAGGGGTAGTCGTAGCAGTCGAGTGGTGTGGAGGAGTGCAACTGCATTTAACGTGAAGAGTTATGGCTGCAAATGGGGGGCGGAGAAGAGAGGATCACCTCCCAAGGGGAGGAGCAACGCAGGGCTCCGATTCGCCAACGAGTTTGCCAAGATCGCGGTTCGTAATGCCGGCTTCCAGTATTATGACAGCTGGCAGGTGGAGGCTCCGTTTTACTTCGATGACTCAGCCTCAGATTGCCATTTCTCGGGTATTACGAATAATGGGCGTGTGCGAGGTGTTGTTGGAGAGGCAGTCACACGACATTTTATGACTTGGGTGGCGACGGTCATGCAGTGAGTGACCACGAGAGAGTGGGGAAGAGAGGGAGAGAGGGAAGGGGAAACACACACACACACACACACAGCCACACGCACACACACACACACACACACACACACACACACACACACACACACACACACACACACACACACACACACACACACACACACACA